GGGCGGGAGCCGCTGCGGGCGCTGGGCTTCGCGGCGCTGGTGCTGGGCTCCGTGCTGCTGCACTGGGCCGTGTCCCTCATGGACCCCGGCTTCGTCCCGCAGGTCGGTGCGCGCCCTCGGGGGGGGCGGTGGATGGCCCCGTGCTCCCCAACCTTGCCTGAGGGGACCCCCCCCCGGCTGTGGGGGGGCCCGCACCTGGGCGCGACACCGAGCCCTGACGTCAGTGGATGTTCTCGGTGCTGCCCGAGTAGAAATGCCCCTGCTGCTGCCAGGCAGCTGGTTTAAACCCTTGAGTGCAGTGGGAAGCAAAGGGGAGGGGTGCACCCCCCGCCCATCGCCTCGCGCTGCCCACTGTCCCGCTCAGGGCCGCTGTCCCTGCGGCTGCCCGGCTTGCAGAGGACCAGCGCGTTCAGAGAGCGCTCCTGTGACGACCCGTCTCATGGGATCCTCTGCCCTGCAGAGGCGTTCGTGTGCGATGTCTCACAACAAGTGGGGGGCAACCAAGGCAGCAGCAGCCCCCCACGGGGTTTCAGTAGGACCCAGAACCCGCTCGCTGCCCGTGCGTGAGGTGTTACCTCCGTCTCCTCCAGCTCTAGCAGCTGCTGTCCTCCTCTAGGAATTGCTCTTCCGCATTTCTAAACACGCCCGTTTATAAGTCTCCCACAAAAACGATACAGGCAAGCGCCTGGTGTGGTGTGGATCCACAGCTGCCACGGCAACCTAGATGTCACCGTCCAGATTCTGGAATTCCCCCTCACCCGATACTACTTCTCGTTATTAGCTCTCCTCTCTCATCACCTTTTCGTAGGCGGGGGTGAGCGAAGAGCAAGAAGCAATGATACCTCCGCTCCCAAAGACCGTTCAGGTACGGCGCTGTGGCTACTGCATGGTGAAGGTAGGCGTACGAAGCTCCAGGAGCATCGACTCTTCTGGCTCTTTGTTTTGACTCTTTTTGATCCAAGCACGTTCGTGGTCAGCCAGTACACGTGACGGGGAGGTGTCACCGTCTTGGGGTGACAATCTAAGGCAGGAGCAGACAGCTGCACATTTCTATGAAAAGTCCAATCTTGAGACAAAAGGCGGGTAACCAAAGGGAAAGGCAACCTGGTCGTTAAAATTGGACACTGAGACTTGTATGTATTTTTCCAAGGTTAAAGGTAAGTCCTTGGGCGTCTCAAAACCAAACAGCCCAGTGGGCAAAATCTCTTTCTGCCTGACTTATCAAAAAGTTTCATTTGAAAGGGTGTTGGTTAAGAGTCTGGAGACTGGAGTTGAGCTGAGCAGAATGTCTTGGACAGATTTATTAGTAGAGAGGAGCTGATTAGAGGCTTGTGAATAAGCCTAAATTCTAACTATCAGGCATAGTTTGGCCTAGAGGAGAAGTAAGAACAATGACCCATCCTGGCTCTGGTGGATCCTGTGTCCCTGGAGCATAGGAACATGGAGCTGTTTTTTAAAATGCAGTGTTATCCAAGCTCCTGTAAGTTACCTGGGACTGACCATCAGAAGGAGCCATGAGCTTAGGCTGGCAGACAGCATGTGAACCTCAAGGACCAGTCTTCCCTCCTTGCGCTCCCTACCCAGGCACACCCTCCATCCCCTTTTTAAAGTGGCAGAAGAGGAACTTGGTTTTCATTCTTCTCTTGTCCAGCACTGTGAGGACAGTTGCTCTTTGCCTGCACACACTCCGATCACTCCCTTCACTGGCAGGTACCTCAGGTTTTCAACTTAAAATCCTTCCTGCTTGTGTAAGGGAATCGCCCTACATTGTTGGGAGTCTTTTATTAAGAATGGAATCCAGTACAATGGGGTGAGAAACTTGGCTGGAGGATTGTAGGTGATTAAACATTTCCACTTTTCTGAAGAATAATATAGTGATCACTATCTAAATAACGTCTAAGCAGCATTCAGATTTCCCCTGGCACTGGGCACGCTAGGTGAGCGGTCTTCTGGCTGAGCTCTTCGTTTCTGTGGCTCAGCAGCTATTTCATTGCTCTGGGCAGAGGCACAGGGTAAAGAGGGCCAGTGCACAGCTCCCTGCCTCTGAGTACCTGGTAGCCTTTGTAAGGGTGCTGGTTTGGAGGATTGGCACTGTGGATTCAAACCCCATGGCTGTCTGTGATCTCAGCTGAGCAATTGAGCTATGAGGAGAGTGGATAAAACAGGGGGCACCACCAGCAGTGCTGTTTCTTGACCCAGGCTGGCTGGGTTATCCCCACCCTTCACCTCAGCATACATCTCAGGATGCCTATGCCTCCTAGCTTAAGGAGGGTCGGCACCATTGCTCCTGTGTACTAGGTTGAGGTGGGTAGAGATGTGTGCTGTCTTGCTCTATAGATGAGTGGGTGCAGTAGGTAGAGTTGAAGAAGTTATCACTGTTCTATGTAACACTAACTATATAGAAAAGATACAATTCTGTAATAACTACATATTGTATTTAATCTTATTATAAAAGACACCATTATTTATAATAACTAAATAATTACTGAACCAGTATTAAAGACACCATTCTTTAATTAGTATTATTTTTAAAAGACACCATTTTTTAAAGATTAAATACAGACCCATCTTTATCTCTACTCCAACACCTCTAACTGTTTATTGCCCCCACACCGAGAGACCTCCCCTCATATCCTCTCACCTTGAGCAACATTTGAACTCCCAGCTCTAATTATATACAAGATCAACACCTTAAACACCATGCTACTGGTAGTTTACTACCACATTTTTCAGAACTAACATATATCTTCTGTTGAAGCTTGTCCTTTTTACCTTTGATAGTATTCAGTATGGTTGAAATATTTACCCAAGGTGTAGGAGTCTGCTGGATCTAGTCCCAAGGCAGATGACATTTTATTTTACTTGCATGATAGGGGAATGGTTCCAAATAGCTGACACCACAGTAACTTGCCCCCATGAACCCCAGCAACATAGTAGGTAGCTCAGGTGCTGAAGCTTTAGTGCTCTGGGCCCCTAGCCCTTGTGCAGCTCAAATTGACTGGTGTACTGGCTGTTCTCTGTCTTCTGCAAGATTGGGAAGCCCTGCTACAGCGCACAACTCCACAGGAGGCAGGTAAGTCTAAGGTTGCTTCCTATGAACCAGTGCAGGCATCTCCTGTGAATTGCATCCTTCAGTCCCGACTCTTCCCCCCTGTTCTGTCCTGGGACCTCTCTGAGGTTGTGACTTCTACCAGGTGGCATGGTGTGACTTTGCCTGTAGTGCTGTGGGATCCTTGGCTGAGGAGGGGAATTTTGTCACAGGATCTTCAGCGTTAGAGCTGCTGAGACAGCTTGTTCCAGCAGCCCAGGTGTGGCATGTGGCTGTTGGAGGTGGGCTAGTCCCAGCTGTTCAGCAGCTGTCAGAGATGGTGGCCAGTCACATGGGCCTGGACTGGTGATTTATGGCACCACTCAGTTATCTCAGCCTGTATCTGATGTGCATGGGGCAGTAGGGGCTAGTGGCTAGGAAGTTTGCATTGAACCTTTTGGTGGCCTAGTAGCTGTGCATCAGCTGGAGCAGCACCTGTGGAGGACAGCAATACAAGAGCTGGGAAAATCTTTTACACCAATATATGTTAAGCCAGGGGTGGCCAACCTGCAGCTCTAGAGTCACATGTGGCATTTCAGAAGTGATATGCATCTCCTTGAATCTTTGCACAAGCACATGGTGACCGGCTTCAATTTGGAAAGATTCAAGGAGATGCATATTCACTTCTGAAGAGCCACATATAGCTCCAGAGCCGCAGGTGGGCCGCTCCTGTCTTAAGCCATAAAGAAGCAAAAAACAGTGATTCCTTGTAGGAACTGTCTTTATTAGCTGCAATCTCCATCACAGAACCCCTTTTTGTTAGTGTGTGTGAAGCTGCTTTTTGATTTTCATCTGGCTGAGTCTGTTAGGAAAAGATAGTTATTTACTATACTGTTGCAGCACTTCCAACAGATCCTGTTGCATGCTCAAGGCTTTGATGTGCAAGATGGGCCTTCATTTGTGCACGGAGATGCACCAAACACAACCTGATTCCTATGGGAGTAAGAATCTAACTCGGGCAAGGCTGAATGCTCAGTGCTGTATCTAGATAAGGACGTTTGAGAGCTTGCAGGTGCTAAGGCTTATAGAGGATGTGAGCTGAAATGAAATTCAACTGTTACAAGCATAAAGCATGCCAACAAGAGGTGTGAAAGGAAGAGTGGGAAGAGGAGATAGCAGGCACATTATGGATCTCAGGAAGTGAAATCTAAATATTCTTGGAGAACGTCAGCTGTAAAAGTAGAATGTCTAGAAACCAATGCTAGAAACCCTGCTCTAGCAAAGGCCTGGTTGCAAAAGCTTTGCCCACTGAGACATTAAAAAAAGACGACCCCCAAAATTAATATGATATAGCTAATAAAACAGCATTGAATAAGAATTCTGCAGGTCCAGGGGCAGAAGATAAGCTATTGGACTCTGCCTGTCTGTTGAACGTGAACTAGAGAGGAGGAAAAAGATGAGCACTAACCTGTGGAATGTCTTAAGAAACGAAGGAGGGCATTGAGCCAGTTACCCAATTGGTCATTGAAGCCTAATTGTAATGTGCAATTTAAACCTTAAATATTTAGATGTTTATCTTACTAACTGGATGTAACTAGTCCCTTGCCAGTGAGAAATACAAACCAAACATAAATGATGACAACATACTTTATAGCATCGCTAACACAGGAATTTATATTTCCAACAAACAGACTTACTGGAGCATAATGATTCATGCCACATAGTGCTTAATTTAAACAAATTTTACTGCCAGGTGTCCTTTAGCCATCTTTAAGACATCATGAGTTAAACCCCCAGCAAAGACAAACCATGGATTAAACCAGAACAGTACTTAGCAGGTATATTTCTTAGTATTTAACAGACATGCTGTCCATACATATTAAATAAAATATACCAACATCTACAATGGGAGATGACCATAGTAATTTTCCCATTACGCAGCCCATCAAAGCTAGTAATCCACCAGTATCCCCAACAATTCAACTGCATATTTCACAATAATACTTCCATTGCTTAATTATTTACTACCATAAATATGCATAGCTCTTTACAGTACTGATGATAAGAACCCTCCTTTCCCAAGGAAGCGAATGAAAGATTTTCATAGACGTCGTGATATAACTAAAATTACAAATGGTAAAAGAAGTAAGACAGCTCCTCTAGCAGGAAGGTACTGGTAGGTCAAGGATGCAACATCCTATATATTCCCTGGAGAAATCATGCAAGTGGCTTGTTCGGAAGGGTTCCAAGTATCCAGCACTTACTATATTAAATGGATCTGCTAATAACTAGCTGCAAGACAAAATTAAGAGAAATTTAAATTGAAGATGACAAAATGAGTCATTCAGTTGTGCCTATTTCCTCATCTGTGAAAGGGGATGACTACTAGTGTTCAAGCTACTCTACAATTCTTTTAACATGATCAGTCTCAGAGGATCTGCCTTGCTTATGGGGCACTAGTTTCTTGCCAGACCCCTATTTCACAGGGGAAGCTAAGTCTGGTGGGCTGTCATTGCCGTTTGCTAATTCCACAGCAACCAATGCGAGCCAGGCACTGCCGGGTGTGTCAGCACTGCGTACGCCGCTTTGACCATCACTGCCCCTGGATTGAGAACTGCGTGGGAGAAAAGAATCACCCGCTCTTTGTAGCCTACTTGGCTGTGCAGCTTGTGGTCCTGTTGTGGGCTCTTCACATTGCTTGGTAAGCCTGAGGCCTCTGGCAGACATCACTTATTTTTGAGGTTTTTCAGAGCTTTCACAGGAGCTGAATATTCCCAAAGTCCAGCTAAAGGGCTTGGGCAGAGCAAGGAGAGCAGTGGGTGGAGTTCACCTTGTACCTTGTTTACCCTTTGCTCTGCTCCCCTCAAAGGGGATTGCTATGGAGTAACCTAGCCACTGGGAGCATGTCCTTATGAGCACACGTGTAGTTTGCAGCACCACATACTGCATGCATGCATGCGTTTGCCACACTGTGAATTTGGAGCATGGCAGGGGTTATTTTTTGACACTGGGGGATTCTAGTGTCAAACACACACTAGAAAAAAAGTGGGGTGGTAGATATGGTGGCAGCCTGCTTTGCGCAGAACCAGAGCCTGGCTGTCCAGAGCCATGCTCCAGCTGCCAACCAGACAGCGCCCAGATTGCTGCTGTTTGGAGTCCCAAGGGGACCAGCCTCCCCTTCCCCACCTGGGACAACTTGCCGTGCGCCAGAGTGCACGTGCAGGGGCGTTCCACAAGGACTAGTAATAGCAGAAATACATGCTGCTGTTATTTGTGTCTGGGGAACACACATTCCCCACTCGTGGGGATGGACCATAGATGGGTTAAAAACAAAACAAAACAGTGTTTTGTAATAGATAAAAATCCTGACCCCTCACAGCAGTGGCAGCAGATGGATAAGGCACTTCTAGGATGAGAATCACTCAAGAAATTGGACATGTGTCTTAACTACATTTTATGAAAACAGCAATAGCCTGAGCTCTGGGACTTAAGTTCAGATACTCAGGATAGACACGCTACTTACAAATGCTGAGCACTAAGCCTGTGCGAAGTGGCTAGTACTTGCTTCAGATTCGGCCAATTTGGGGGACAGTGATTTATTTTGGCAATTAGAATCACTGTCCTGAATCTGATTCGGAGATTTGGCTGCTGCCAAATTGGCTGAATCATGCAGGCGCCATCCCCTGCCAGCTCTCCCAGCCCCAAATCCTGGCTCTTTTTTTTTTCCAAAAAGCCCCCACTCACTGGCTGCTGCCAGGCAGGGGGCAATCCCCGCTGCCCCCCGCCACATGGGGAGCTCTGCCATGAGCCCCCCACCCGCTCTCCCAGGCCCTCCCATGGCTGCTCTGCTCGCCCCAGCTCTTTGAAAAAAATAAAAGAGGCCCGCGTCACC